TTTTTTTTTTTTTTTTTTTACTTTCATTTTTCCTTCTTTGACCGTGCTTCTCCACTCTCTTCTTCCACCGGTTATGGTTACCGTTTTTAAATTTCGTCACGAATTTTTTTTAAGAAATAAATGGATAATTTCGAACGTCGAGCATAGTCGGTTATAAAGTTACTCGAAGTCGTTATCTCTTTTCTTTAACGTCTTTTGCTTTCGTTCTTTATTTATCCTCTATTTATTTCTTTTGTTGTGGGTTATATATCACAAATTGCAATATCTTTTTATTTATTTATTTTTTTTCATTCTCTATTACGTAAAATTAAATTATATCGTATTTCAATTCTTTCAGTTCGATCAAATTATACACAAATTATATACAATAGTACAATTTCGATTATTCGTTTATCTTAATTAATATCGAATGGTCGAATGAAAAAAGTTTACGAAGGACATCTCGATCATTTCTTCTTTTTTATCCTGATGAATAAGTGCGATCTTTCGTGAGTTATCTCGTCAACAAAATATTGTTATCAATAAATAATATTAGTTATATATTAAATCGCAATTGTAACTTTCCATTGTTTTTCTCGAATGAATCATTTCTTTTCTTCTCGTTCTATTTTCTTTTTCAATCGTTTCAATCTACGTGTTCGAGTATCTTCGATTTCCTATAATCAGAATGCATTTCAACGTGATCCATTATGTGTTTTCTTATTGTTAGTCGCCCGTGATTATTAAGGATTTTCCACGCGATCAAAGCTTTGTTCATCAACCCTTTTTTTTTTTTGCGCCTTCATCCCCTGGAATGTATACCCTCGTAAAAAGACACTTTATCTCTTCTTTATTGCTAACGTCTGCCGCGTTATTTCTGCTTTCAGGATCCGACATCAAAGTACCGGTTGCAATACTGAACTGTCTTTATGCGCGTCAATTGTGCTTCGAGGATGCATCCTGCAGCGCGATTCTAGAGATCATACCGAGAGTCTGTGGTCCAGAACTGGGTGAGTGATAAAAAATTATTTTTTTATAATTTTTAAACAGATATAAAAATAAGCAAACATTTTTATATATCGCGAATTATTTTATATATCGTTCGATGGAGCTTTTAATTACGAGTTGAAGAATTGATTTTCGAATCGATTCTCGAATATTTTCTTTGATTTAAATAATTACGAAGAGAAGTAGGATTGTATCGAGTTTGGAAACTCACGAAGTCGAATGGTGTCGAGTAGTGCAACTGTTTTTTCTTGGCCAATGTAACGAGAAGCGAAAAAAATGAGATGGACCAGAGATACGGTCGACGACCCCATTCTTTTCGCACTTCTTTCTCGTCTTCTATTCGTATAATCGTGTTTTTCTTTTTGTTTAAATATTTGTTTCTCCACACATTGGATCTATTGAAATTAATGGAAATTCTTTGACTAGGTGTTAATATTAAACATATTAGATTATAAATTCATATGTAATAAATTTTAGATAGTTTTACTGCGATAGTAATACTGCGATTTCGTTATAATTTTAAATGGATTAATCGTGCGATGTTTCTTGATTTCGTTTCTCGAAAATATCTTCATTTAAAGTAATATTTTTGGAATTGACGTAACCTAGATAAAACCTGTGATTTTTGACAATTCCAAAAGTAGCACTTACTACAATATCATTTGACGTTGTCAAAATGATGTTGGTCTGATTTCGTTTTTTTTTTCTTGTTAATTTCTGAAATATTGAAATCTGTGATCAAATTAAATTCAAGTCAGGCGCTTTTTTCCGATAATCCTTGTTTTCGAAACCTTTTACACGTCGCGTAAATTATAATTCGAATAGGTACATTAAAGAGAAAGAATTACATTCGAATTTACCGAATTTAACGATACCAAAAATGGGGGATAAATACAGCGGTGACGTCGGTGAAAATTAAAACAAACAGAAGGACGGCTCTACTACATAATAATGGAATTAGATGCGTTTTACTTTAACGAAAGTAAAACGTAGGGAAGGCCGTTAAAACGTGCTCTTTCGTACGCGTCTCGGGAAAATGGGATTAATTCGTATTTAATTTACCGAGTAAACGAGGCTGGAAGCGTGATATCGTCGTGGTACACGTGCGACCGCGAGCATGAACAGAGCTACAACGCTTTGCAAAGCGAAGTAGATTAACATGCGGAACTTCTACCGTGAATTACGTGTAATTAAAAAAAATACAGCACACCTTGATTGGTACCTTTCGAATCGTTTGTAATTTTATGTTTCTCCCCCTCCACCAAGTTTTTATCGAAATTGACGTTGAATTATAACAAACGAAATTTCGGGGGTTAATATCGAAATTTATCATTGGGGCGTAACACGAGAATAAAAATTTTTATCCACTCCGTTTCTTTTTCTTTTTCTTTCTTCTATAAAAATGGAAATTATCATAAATAAAAAGAATTATATGGTGGAAAAAATCGGTTATGGAAACAGCGGCAAGAGTATCAGTTATCGAGTGAAACGGTTTATTTTCTGAATGACTGCTTCGGCGAATTAATTAACGCGTTTTCTCCGCGCGATTCAAAACAAACGGTTGGAAAAGTCCAGTTGGCCGGAAAGGGTTTCGAAATTAACAATTCATGCATCGATCTCGAAAAAACGATGTAAACTATCGATTCTCGAACTACTTGCAACGATTTTTATTGCAAATTAACTAACGTAGAAAATAATCTGGAAAACAATTGTACGCGACTATTATTCACATTTAGAGAACGTCTCATATTTTTCATGTTTTTTAATTCGACCTGAAACCTCGGAAATACTCGTCCTCGTAAAAGTCCACAAAAGGACAATTATCGGAATTTGAACGTAACTTGATAAAAAGAATCAATTATTCATAGATTATTCGATACACCATAACTTTGACAGAAAGTTAATCGCGTTTTTACGTCGATTATTACTACTGCGAAAGTACTACAACTAAAGGGAAAAAGTTGGTTCAACGGTTTTAAAATGTATTAAAAGCGTTTTCCCAAAGTCCGATGAAATATTTCGTTCGATTTTTTATTTTTATACGGATAAAAGAGTCGCGTTTTTCAGAGTCACGTAATTGTACAAAGCGTTGAACATCAACAACATCCTTTTATGCCTCGAGGATCCGATTATTAATAGAGTTGCAGGAGAAATTTCTACTTCGTCGATTCGGCTACCGATTAGAACGAATCTATGCGAGGATCTGTGCCATGTAATTTCGATATTTCAAGCGGGGAAGATTCAACAGATAAGAAAGAAGCGAGCGATATCGCCTTCGGAGACCGTATCAAGGGAGAATCGCGTAAATTCTTCAGCCTGAAAATTCTGGTACTCTCTGATAATTTTCTGAATACCTTCGGGAAATCCGGGTGAAAGGGCATCGACGCGTATTTCACGTTTCAGAAACTATTTTCCACCGTTTACTACGTATTTGCTTGACTATTTTTATGGTCAGTCTTCCCGCTTTTCCAATACTTCCCCTTCCTCGTCGAGTTGCATCTTCCTTTCTCTAATTAAAGAAAATTTTTACTCATAATCGAGGCATCGATTCTTCTAAAGTCTGTAAATTACGACGATCCCCTGTTGCAATATTCCCTCATTTATATTATTCCCGCGTTCGTTGATACGTCGAATCCATCGATGGACATTCATCGAGCTCATAATCATCCGTCCATAAACAGTGCGGTCCCCGGAACACGAATCGAGATATCGATCCACGATGCTTCCTGTTCGCAATCGGTGCGAGTCGAAATTTCAGTTGCGGAACGCGCAGAGATAGGTCAACCGGAAGTTGCCGATATACTCGACGCATTTCCGACCGTACATATCACGGTTGTCTCTTAGATGGTCGCAATTTCGTCTTCCATCCAATTGCAAAAAATGTTGGAACAGATTTGAAAAGTTTAATTAGTTTCGTTTCGAAATTCAACTATTCTTTTTTTTTTTATCCCTTATCGCAGAATTTAATCGAATTCCTTGTTATTGACCCTCTGGTTTAATCGAATTGCACGACGCAAGTGGAACGAAAGAAGAAAACAATTGGAAGAGATATAATATCGATTGAACGAGGCGATTTGTCGGATATTTTGTTGAAATCAGCAAAAGATTATCGCTAAGAAGCGCGATGTAAAAAAATATCGCGATGTGAACAATTTTCCAGATCGTTAACATTTCGAATAATCTCAGCACCTGCCATAATCTTATCCGTAACCCTTATTCCGCGCCATACGATGAATATTGTCGATTGTAACGGACTTTCATTTCGTGCTAGTGCATTTCGACCTTATCGACGAAAATGATCATTCGAATCGAGGAAAATCTTTCGAGATAGAGAAACCTGTTATTTTCGTGGACCGAGTTCAACTGGGATCTTACACTTAAAGCAATTACTTTTTTCGGCTGTTTATCAGATATCGCATAATTGTGATTGAACGTTTAATTGCGTCCGTTTCGTTCCCTTTGTACGCGAGTTTTGGCCACCGTGTTACTGCTCTAATTCAATTTACGCGATCGATTTTCCGTTACGTCGAACTTGATTAATAAACGCTCTTACTTTATTCGAAAGTAACGACGATTCGTTACCGAGTTTCACGACTCGTGGAAAATAACTCGATAGGACGATTTAAATTCTCAATATTCTTTTGTCACAAAGATCATCATCGTGTTTCGTCGATATTATCTCGATTAATCAAAGCAATTTCGAAGAATTCTAATTTATCACGTTCTATTCGACTATCATCTACTTGTTTCATCCGTTGAATATTTTATCGCTTGAAAATTTCTCGCCAACTTGGCAAAGATTTTCTCAGCGTCGCGAAACGAAACGAAACGAAACGAAACGAAACGTCCGATTTACTTTTACCCTCTTTCTTTCGTAAATATGTGATTGCGACCGAGATACACGAAAGAGTTGCGGGGAAATCTCGCCACGACAGGTGGATTAACGTGAATTTCAACGTTAAAAATTCTGGTTGAAAAAGTGAAGAAAGATAGAGACGGGGTAATGTTCGTTAGCGAATAAAAGGCCGTGACAAATCAACGAGTGGACGCATCCCATTCGCGATGGATTCAGCCATTTAAGTGTGACAAGAAGGATTTCCGGTTTCCATTCTCCTGTCACCTGAAAGTGAAATTTCACCGGCGTACCTTTTCCAAGTTTCTGAGGGTTGTGTGCGCTTGACAACCAACCAACGCGCTTCCAAAAGAGGGTTGTCCAGAAAATGTCGATCGATGGAGGATGGAGGATCGCCAGTCGATTCGGGATTTCGTGACTTTTCCAAATGTTGCCCCGTCTATCTGTGTGAACCATGCTTTTACACGCTGTTACACGAGTTTTTATATTCTTTTTCGTGCTATCCATCTCTCTGCAGTCTTCTTCCCGATCTCGAGCGAGGGTTGGTTCTCGGGGAGGGGGATGAAAAATGAGAGGAAACGCTCCAAGTATGCAGGTATCCGGAGTAATAACGTGTCGGCCCAGGGGAATATGGAACGAGAGGACTTCCTTATTAAAAGGCTTTGGTGGCACTTTGCGGTCGGTATACTACTTTTACGTCGATAAATAACGATCTCTGGAACTATTTCCCTTTTGCTTTCTTTCTTTTCCTCCAAGGATCAATCTTCTGGAACGTTACTTTCCAGAGTTATCTTCGTAAAACGCCCGCAGATTTTGATATTTCTTCGTCGAAAGATCGTTAGAAAAGTTGATAGATGATGCAAGTTTATCGAGAGAGAAACGTATACTCTATTCTCATCAAATTGTTCATCGATTCCTTCCTTATAATTCGAACGGGATAAGTAATGAAATAAAATGGAATTGACGCGATTTCTTCGAATTATAATTGGCAAGATAATTGTCTTGTTCGAAGGCTATTCGCGAAAAGTCATTAGGATGCAAATTGCGGGACACTTGGAAGAATTTTTAATCGATTTAGGAAAAATCGAGGGGGTAGAACTTTTACAATTATTTCTCTAAGTTGACTCGATACATTATAAATGGACGAGG